TAGAACCGGGTCTCAAAATAATATCAATAATTAATTCCTGCTTCTAATTGGCTTAAACGAAATATTAATGCTTCCAAACCCAGATTATTAAATAAGATGGAAAGGTTAGTATTATTTATTGATCTAGCTATTAATCAATTATAATGTGAGTCTTTATCGTGAATTTCTTGCGGAAATGAATCATTGAAGACAACTAAATCAGGGGTTGTGGAGTTTTATTAGGAAGGTTACTGCGATATATGTTGGGAAATGATTCTTGAGTATTAATTGATTGTCTTGCTAGTGGGAGTAGAACAGGTACTGAGCTTTCTGGGAATAGTTGTGTGATATTAACATCTGATGCATATGTTTTGATAAGATTATTATTTTGTTTAAGCCAATTAGAAGCAGGAATTAATTATTGATATTATTTTGAGACCCGGTTCTAATATTTTTAATTTGGTTTACGGCATGTAAAAAATTATCAGTTGGAGATTTATTGTTTTGAGGATTTGAATTATTGTTTTGAGGTTCAGTCTTCTGTGTTTTTGAGGGAGAAGGAGGTGGGAAATTTGTGCATTGTCTTTTTCTTGAGGGGAAAGAATTTAACTTGGCATACTTTTCTTTAATACCTTCGAGATAGTTATTGATATCACCTTGAGCTTTTGCTTTTTCTTTATTCAAATTATCAGAGATTTGTTCATTACCGACATAGTTCCATTCGATGTCTGTGGCTATGATATGTAGCATTTTTTTTGCACCAATATTTAACCTTCCAATAACTGAAAGAACTGTTTTTTTTAGGTTATCTTTTAACATATTATATCAGCCATTTTGATTGGTATAAGATACAATCACTTCGGATTCTATGCTTTTATGGCCAGTAATGCCATTATATAATTTTTTAGATAGCATGAGGCTGTCTCTACCAAATTCGCTATTGGAAAAGTGGGAATTGGAAATAACAGGAGCAGAAAATAGTAATAATGGAGACGAATAGGGTAGGTCATCCGGAGTGATTTCGATTTCATCGTTGGAGATGGAAATTGGCACAGTTTGTATCAAAGTAAGCTGACATTAAAAAAAAAAAAAAAATTAACATATTGTGGTTATGGATTGAGTAGAATTATGAGAATATATCTAAATATTCGGCATCTTCAAATACATATCTTCCAATCATTAAGGCTATGGAATTTTTTTCTAACTCCGTAATTAAAGATTCTTGGGTTACAAAACCTTTGTAAGTTAATTCTTTAAATTCTTCTTGTGAACGCATTTTTCACTTCCTGAGATGGTTTTAATAAAACACAGGGCTACGAAAATTGAAGTCATTTTTTTTTTCGAAATAAAGAACAAGATTGAATTATTATTTTTTTTTTTACTTAGATGAAATGGATTTTATATATAAAACTTTGTACATTTTTTTTATTTTTTATTTATATTTTATTTAGATGATGATAACGATATGATTATTTAAACAAGTTTTGCAATTTAATAACAGTAAACCAGTTCACGATTTTTTTTATTCTCTTTTTAATCTTGAGCTTCAATGCGCTTTCCTTTTACATTTATTTAAAGAGTGAAAAGGTAATTGCTTATTTGGTTATGTGTGAAAAGTTCTTAAAGATTGGGCCCTAGTGGGATAAGATTTGTTTCTTGTTTTTTTTTTGTTTACCTCATGATATCTTATCTTAGATATTGAAGTTATATTATCCTTTTACGGTCAACAAGTAAAATTACAACAGAGATTTTAATGAACATAGGATACAGATGGCCGAAGGGCCATCTGTATTATACAGTATGTTCATCCGAATCTCTGTGATTTTAAGGAAATTCATAAGTAATGTCTTGTCTTATATTGTTTATACCCGCGGTTATTATAATTTCCTGTGGGAATGGGAATCTTCCCTTAGAAGATTCTCAGTCATGATACGATTTTGTGGAAAATTATAATGAAGGTAGGCACGAACAACATATAGTGAGGCAAGGTATTAACAGCTTTAATTGTCATATATAAGTTACTCCAGTAGGATCGAGAAAGATGCGTTAATTAGATGATTTATATTGAGATAATCGAATGTAAGTAATTTTTCAATAATTTCAATAATAAGATATTACATTGGGGTTATAGTAGCCGTAATCACAATTCTAACGATCTTATTAGAATATTGTACAATCATCTGTTGAGAAAAGCTTAAAATGGGCAATACGGTACCAAAAAGTAGTGAAATTGAAAATCAGAAATCATAATTAAAAGTAGATTACGGGTGTCAAAAACTTAGTTTGACAATTCAGGTTTAATCGTGAAATTAGAATCGCGGATAAAAGAATTTAGATTAAGATTTGATTTGAAATTTGATTTTAATAAACGGTAAAAGGTATAGCGGGTGGCAATTCAAGTTTAAACTTGATATAAAATACGCGATCAGGAATTTTCATATCTCAAAATTTTTCGTAATTGTAAGACACCATTTATTTGATTATCTAACTTAAGGTAATTTCCCTTTTAAAGTTTTGAATAGGTTTAAAATTTTTAATCAAAGAGTTCGCATTCCTGTTTGACCAAATTTATACATTTATATTTTGGTGAACTGAGAGAACATGTACGTATAAGTATTTATAAATAAAAATTTAAACATGTTATTTCACGAATTCTTTATGATCAGTAGAGGTGATTTTTTAGCAAACTTGATGAAAGCTTGCATAAAATTTTTGTAAGATAATGCGAAATTAGGATATTAATTCTTGGAAAATCGATAAGCTGTTTTATCTAATATAAAAGAAAGATAATTGTAGATAGAAATATTTATAGAGAAAGGCATATATCAATGCAGAAATTAAAGTATCGATATATAACTAATGTAAAATAAAGAAAGATAATTGTAGATAGAAATATTCGTAGAGAAAGGTTACATATATTAATACTGAAATTAAAGTATCGATATATAATAATCTTATTATAACGTAAATTCAGTTATATTTGACAAGGTTTAATCATACAAGTCATCAAAAAAAGGTGTAAAATGAATAAAATAGGAAACGGAGAATTATATTTAGAAAGGTGGTACAAGTACTAACAAAAAAACGAAAATGAAAAGGGTTTGTCTATTACACAGAATTTTTTGTATAAATAGGAGCGCTATCCAGAGCGAAACGGAGAGAAGCGAGGGGTGCGTGATCAAGAGCATGATCAAGAGTATGATCAAGAATATGTAGTATATACACAACGCAACCAAAATTGTGAAACCCGAGCTTATCGATTTCGTAAATATTGTACAATGAATTTTTGCTAAAAAGAAATACAGATTATCAGCAAAGAAGGCACAAAAAATACAAAAAAAGCAAATCATGTAGTACAAATTACAGAGCATTTTACCGTTGCGTTAACAACCTACTCCTGTACAAAAGATGCAGGAGAGACTGGTTGGGGTATATATAAAGTTGTTAATGGAGCACTCCAAGCTATAATAAAACATATAAACCACTCCAGTTTAAACTGGAGTGGTTTATATGTTTTATTATAATTTGGAGTGCTCCATATCTATAGTTGATTTTATTGGCTGATGGCCTTTAGCGCTTTCCCAACCAAAGAGATACACCTTTACGTGGTGGTTAGGATAAGTAGGAGAGATAATCTCTGAAACTAAGTATCTCAAACTTTATTAAATTCAACATTTGTATATTTTATTATGTAGACTTTTATTAATTTTTTTTTTTTAAAAAACTATTTTAATGTAAGATATAATCATGTATTTAAAAATTTTAATAAATTAAATTGAACTTTACGTGTAAACCTATAAAATATCTAATTGTATATAAATGTAAAAAATAAAAAAATCTTAGTTCGATATATTTAAATATTTCTATATGAACCCTTAGTACAGTACAACTCGCCATAATATGACATGAAAAAAGCCGCGTAATTGTTAATAAGCGGGTAAGAGTTTAATTTATATGGAACAATTATAGCAGCTTTAGAATTTAGACACTCTAAAATGTTTTATAATTATATCGATAGGAAAGATGTTGTTCAATGAAGTTATCAACAGCAGAACCAGCCTTGATCAAAAGCATGATTTTACAGTACATGGGCATTTTAAGTTTATGTACAAATCTTTAATGGATCGATATTGATGATACCTTATCGAATAAATACTATAAATAAATTTATTTAATCATAAGTAGCTTTTTATACGATCATAAATCTTTTTTTTTTTAAAAAAAAAAAATTCGTATACAAGATTATTAACGAACTTTTTATTTCATTCTCCAAAAAGCGAACAACCTTTGTTACAGTTCGATTATAGGCAACTCCAATGAAACCAAAGATGAAGAGAAGAAAATTAAGTATAAAAAACTGGGAAAATTTTCGCATGATATAACAAGTTCGTGCTAATTAAATTCATTATACTGTGATTAATTCTTTGGGCATGAGTTTGACGTGAACATAGAGTTAAGAAAAGAATATACTGTAGAAATAGGGTTGTAAAAAAATATTATACAGTATAACTAATGATCTATATGCACGATTAGTACAATACAAATACAATACAATTTTATGTAACTTTCAAAGTTATTGGAGTTTCGATTTGTAAATTGAACAGGCTCATTAGTTAACTATCATTTATTTTGCACATATTTAACTGTTAATAAATTTTATGCCTAGTATTGTTGGCAAAATGCTGGGCACTAATGCTAGTGCCGATGCCTATATAAGTGCCTACTTATATATATTGTGCCTGCGTTCCAAATTTAAAATCAAGGTAGGCCCGTGCATTAAACATTTTTTTGTACAGGCATGTGCCAGGTTTGCAGAATCCTAATGCCAATGTACAGTACATTGCAATTTTGTAAATTAATTTGTATGTAACGTAATTTTCTATAAAACGCAAAATCATAATGTTACCCATATGTAAATATATGTATTTCTTTATGCAACTAATTTGCATTATGTATACAGAGAACTCACATCTAACTCACATACATATATATCTTCCTAACTACAAACTTTTTAAACATAACTTCTCATTTACACTCTGTATTTTTACTCTTACATTATCGCCATATAATCAATTTACTCAAAGTCACTTAATATGAAATCAATCATATTAATTCTTTTCAATGCTCTTCTTGCATCAATTTGGGCAATTAGAGGTACAATTTAAACAAATTTCATTATTTAAAGATATCATTTTGTTATATGAGATATTTAATAACTAACAGTCATATATTTTCTAATTAGTCAATAGCACACCACTCGATTATTATTTAACCAGCGAACAAATGGGCAGTTCTGGCACATTTGATGGTGACCTATTGACTTGTTCTTGGGTTGATGATTCTTTATCCATGAATTTTTATATCACTTTGTCGTTAAGTACCGCTTCTCCTCGGTCTCAGCTAGATGGTGCTAAATATCTTGTTGTAGGAAAAAAGCAAATTTGTATGCTTTATAAAATTTATGACACTATAGTTTATAACTATAAATATGATAGTAGAGGAAGTTGGGAAAGTCTTTATTTTCCGATTGATTCAATCTCTGACTATGGATCTGATAATACATCTCCACCTACACCTACAGATACTACAGATACTACAGATACATAAAAAAAATGTGCGCATGAAAATTTAATAAACTATAAGGGTAGAGAACGTTCCCAAATAAAATACAATTATTAATTTTATTGAACACTTAAGTTTTCAATATTAGCAAATGAATTTATGTGAATGTTATAAACAATAGTTAATTACAAAGAAAGCTTTAAGGATTTGTTCTATATAATGAATTGGGATTTATTACTTATTTCTAACTTCCTTTAATATGTAACGATGAAAGATCAAATATTACAATAGTAAAAAACTATTTAAATTTATTCTCATTATTACGTATTGACAATGTAATTTATTGTTATTATCGTGGCATATACAGCCTGAAACAGATTTTGGATTCCTACTTTTTTTTTAAGTAATTCATTATAGGTTTCTTTGAAAATGAAAAAATCTTAAAATGCCACCTTTTAATTTTCATCCAAAATATATAGAATAAATAGACTTCTAATACGAATATAATAGTATAATAATTCTTTAAAATTTTAAAGGTTTTTTTTTGCCTGATCCTTATATTTTTTCAAAAAAAATTTAATTTCAACGTTGTTAAAATTTCAACATTAGGCTAGGGCAGTGTTGGGCCTGGACATTAAGCGTGGACATTGGACCACTTGTGTCCAGTCCAGTCCAATTAATTGGACCAAACCTATTGGGCATTAGATATTGACCAATAATCTGATTGGTTAATTTTTACTAATCTACTCATGATTACCTGTGATAATTAACCAATCAAATTACATAGTTTTCAAAATTTCAGGCAAATGATTGGCTGTTATGTGTCGCATGACGGCACATAACAGCTACGTAATCACTTACTTTTAATTATATATACAATATATATTAGTGTATGTTCAAACAAGTATAAACCTGATAGGTAAAAAAAGTCGGATGATCGAAGTAATATTTAACGTTAAGTCTCTGGTCAAGTAATTATTCATAAATCGGCAGTTTTTCATCACGTTCATCACGTTAAATACATGGGATAGGTGCCATGTTTTTATCAGACCATTATTTATGATGGTTATCAAATTCTTTCACTATGGTCTTTCGTTATGAACTTTGACGATCAGTGATTATCAATTCATCTGTCCTGTAAAATTTCTGACGAAAAAAAAAAACAAAAATTGCTTAAAACTTAGAATTGGTTTAATTATTCTAAGCGAAACATGAAAGAAATAGTTTTTTTTTAACAACAGACTAATATTGTGTCACTATTGTCAAAATTTATTATATGAAATATAATTATCAATTTTGAAGTTGATATTGCAATTGATATCGCGTATTGCGCAATGATATTGATTGTTTTATAACGAAAATTTCCTTTCTCAGAATTACAAGGTTGTACGTAGATCCAATTAAATCTAATCCGCATACGGTAGAAAATTGTTACAATCTATCTAACCATATAACGATAAAAGGTTGCAATCTAATCCATACATAGCAAAAACTGTTACCGTAAATTCTCGAAATAGCGGGCATCTGCGCGCTATTTTGACTACGTGCGCGTTATTTCGAATACGTCCATGGGTGTTATTTCGAGATAAGTATTAATTCTGGAATCTGATTGTTACTAATGTTATAAACAGGTCGAATGAATAAGTATCAGGTAAATATCGGATACAAGACTTCTGATATGCTACCGATTTGCTATATTTAGCGTATCAGGTGCGTATCGGAACCGATATTTACCTGATACTTTGCTCTTCGAGGTGCGCGCTATTTCGGGACGCGCATGGGCGTTATTTCGAAACCACCTATGCTATTTTTAGGGGGCGCGATTTTCGAAATAACGCCCCGTTCGAGAATTTACGGTATAATCTATTCACAAATATACCATCATATATTGGCTCGGTTATTATACGTACGTACCAAAAATATATTATACCGTATTAGTATAATTACATGCGAGTATTTTTTCATTGGATAATATTTTGTATTGTTATTGTTCACCAATAAAAATTGGGGTGAACGTAGATCATTTTTCATATGAACCCATGTACAATTTTTTTTGTGTAACGTACGTAAAATCGATCATCACACGTGATTCTAGAAATTTCCATAATATCAAATAGTATAAAAATTTTGCACTTGAACTAAAGTTTTATTATCGTTACAAATAAATTACAAATATAATACAGTAAAATAGTAAATACAAATTCAAGAAATTTTCTTATTTTTTTTTGTCCAGTATGACCAAGTTTCATTTTCTGCTAGTGAATTCGCATTTTCCGTCACACCTTCTATAAGCATACTAGACGTCAAATAAGTTTTATTAGCCTTTCGTTCCAGCCAAATTGTCTGTTTTACAAAGCCTCGACAAACCAAATCCGCCAACGCCAGTTCAGCTAATGGTTTTGTGCGTAGAATCTGAGGTTTTGGGCGATTAACAAGTTCTAGAGAATTTAACTCTCTATTCCGAAGTCGAGCACCCGTTGAACAACCAAAAACTTCAACAACGTCTACAGGTGTGATCTGTTTGTCATTATTCTCGCATAATACTGTAACAATCTCTAACATTTCTAAGATTTCTAACTTCGCATCAACACGCATTACATTATCTTCTCTACGCCTAATACAGTTGTCACACGAATTACATTCTGGGGGGATTGGATCATTTGGCCATGCATGATATCGTGACACTAGCTGAAACCGGCACTCATATAAGGTAAGACAATAATGCATTACCTCAAACAACTCATGCCGTGCTTTAGCTAGGTATAGCTCTCGGTCAAGGGTTTTTTCATCATCACTTTCAGTACTACAATTGATATAGTTTAATGAGATTTGTAATTCAAAAAAAAACAATAATAATAATGATGATACCTTTCTCTACCCTCCGCGACAATAGTATAATTAGTGCGGATATCCTTCCCAGAATAAAGAACAACACATTCTGAAGTTTGTTGATCACATCCGGCCCGTCCAGAGTGTTGAATTAGACTGGCTGTTTGCAAAAATTCTAAGTATTGTTCTTTAATTAAGGTTATATATACTAAGTGATATTATACTTACTCATATTCATCGGAAAATTATAATGCAGAACCAGGCGAACATCAGGCATGTCTATACCCATACCAAATGCTGATGTCGCAATCATTAAACGTGTTTGACCTTTGTTCCATTTTTTAAGTACCTCTATTTTTTTGTCTTCTTGCAGTTGCCCATGGTATATGTCTAATTCCATTTCTTCTATTCTTTTTGATGGTCTTACAATCGTCATTTCTCCATTAAAGTCTTTGATCCAAAGCCAAGTGGTTAGTGTAAAAATTAAAGAGTTTAAAATTGAAAGTTAATATTTATAATAAATACCTAATCAACTTGCCTTTAGAATTACTTTATCAAATTAGGAATCCCATGTGGCGGATTGATGACT